GGAGACAGTAGTGAGAGAGTCTGAAGGTAAAGGAGACAGTAGTGAGAGAGTCTGAAGGTAAAGGAGACAGTAGTGAGAGAGTCTGAAGGTAAAGGAGACAGTAGTGAGAGAGTCTGAAGGTAAAGGAGACAGTAGTGAGAGAGTCTGAAGGTAAAGGAGACAGCAGTGAGAGTCTGAAGGTAAAGGAGACAGCAGTGAGAGAGTCTGAAGGTAAAGGAGACAGTAGTGAGAGACTCTGAAGGTAAAGGAGACAGTAGTGAGAGAGTCTGAAGGTAAAGGAGACAGTAGTGAGAGAGTCTGAAGGTAAAGGAGACAGTAGTGAGAGAGTCTGAAGGTAAAGGAGACAGTAGAGAGAGAGTCTGAAGGTAAAGGAGACAGTAGTGAGAGAGTCTGAAGGTAAAGGAGACAGTAGTGAGAGAGTCTGAAGGTAAAGGAGACAGTAGAGAGAGAGTCTGAAGGTAAAGGAGACAGTAGTGAGAGAGTCTGAAGGTAAAGGAGACAGTAGTGAGAGAGTCTTAAGGTAAAGGAGACAGTAGTGAGAGAGTCTGAAGGTAAAGGAGACAGTAGTGAGAGAGTCTGAAGGTAAAGGAGACAGTAGTGAGAGAGTCTGAAGGTAAAGGAGACAGTAGAGAGAGAGTCTGAAGGTAAAGGAGAGACACATGTATTATTGTGAACATGTTTAGTGTAAAACATAATGAATGAATAAATACAAATCTAACATAAAAACCTCATGTTTTTCAGTATGGAGAGAAAGTCTCAATAAAGTAAAGGATCATTTTTGTCATTGATTATCTGTCTTGCTATTTTGATATCCACCATTGTTTTAAAAACCCTGCATAAGGTCTTTAAAATATTTTTAACTGAAGATATTTTACATTGTAAACATACAATGACAATACAAATGTAATGGTGGAAAATAACAGTTCTTAAAAAGTCCATATCTGTGTGTTCTGTTGCTCTTTGATGATTGTAAAAAGCTCTAAGTGTTGATTCCCTGTGACAGCAGCTCGACAGCGCCCTCTGCTGCTGCAGTGATGTCACACTTCCTCAGATGATTTTGTGTCTGGAGCTTTTCTTCCTGCTGTTTGTTCCAAACACAAATACTTTCACTTCAGACGCGATCGCTGCATCGAACGACTGATCTGTGAGTTCTGCCTTTTATTATATACTATTAATATATATATGTAATATATTTATATACACATCATATACATACATTAGACTTTATTATTTAGATAGAGCTTTATGTTAGATATTCTGTCTGTAATGTCAGGATGGACACTTGTGAAAGAGACGACAGAGAAAATCTGCTTTTACCTGAATTACTTATAGACTTCATGAGTCTTTAAAAGGACTCTGTGGACCAGGGTTAGGGTCAGACCAGGGTTAGGGTCAGACCAGGGTTAGAGTCAGACCAGGGTTAGAGTCAGACCAGGGTTAGACTCAGACCAGGGTTAGGGTCAGACCAGGGTTAGACTCAGACCAGGGTTAGGGTCAGACCAGGGTTAGGGTCAGACCAGGGTTAGGGTCAGTCCAGGGTTAGGGTCAGACCAGGGTTAGAGTCAGACCAGGGTTAGGGTCAGTCCAGGGTTAGAGTCAGACCAGGGTTAGGGTCAGACCAGGGTTAGACTCAGACCAGGGTTAGAGTCAGACCAGGGTTTGGCCCACGGGCCTGAGTTTGACATAAGTCACAAACACATTTTGTAGTGTTTTATGTCTTTGATATATTTGGTATAGTTTAGTTTGGTTTGGTTTAGTCTAGTTTGCAGACAGTACAGATAAAAGACATTAAACTAAAATAACAAAGTCAAAGTTTGTAGATAAATGTTTGAACCAAACCCAGAGGAGGAACCAGGAAACTGACAGTGGTTATGTTCAGGAATGTAGTTCATCAGGAACAAAGAATCTTTTAGAACATGAAGCTTTAACTGCAACAAACATCTTTAAAGACACACGTTTTATTAACTCTGAGATAACCTCTGTTGTGGTTAGGGGCTATTAGTATACATTGAATTGAATTGACTACATGCACATTAGCATATGCTAATTGTGGATGAAAAACTCCCGTGGTTGTCCAGTTTCCGCTCACACAGTATGATGTCCTTTGATCTGGCCTTTTCTAGTGTTGCACCTTTCCTTTTTGAGCCCCAGACCGCGGTCGAGGGGTGCAGGGGAGAGTTGTCTTTCCCAGACCGAAGGGATGCGTTTCTCTGTTGTAACCCTCACTGTCAAATAGTGGTACAATCCATAAACTATAAATATCAACTGACCTGCTCCAGTCGCTCCTTTCATACACACTAACACATACTTTGTCATACACACACACACACACACACATAAACAGACACACACAGACAGAAACACACACAAAGACCTCATAAAGAGACATCAAAGACTTCATAAAGACACATTAAAGACCTCATAGACACATCAAAGACCTCATAAAGACACTTCAAAGACCTCATACAGACAAATCAAAGACCTCATGAAGACACATCAAAGACCTCATAAGGACTCATCAAAGACCTCAAAGACACTTCAAAGACCTCATAAAGACACTTCAAAGACCTCATAAAGACACATCAAAGACCTCATAAAGACTCATCAAAGACCTCATAAAGACACTTCAAAGACCTCATAAAGACACTTCAAAGACCTCATACAGACACATCAAAGACCTCATAAAGACACATCAAAGACCTCATAAAGACACATCTAAGACCTCATAAAGACACATCAAAGACCTCATAAAGACACATCAAAGACCTCATAAAGACACATCAAATACCTCATAAAGACTCATCAAAGACTTCATAAAGACACATCAAAGACCTCATAAAGACACATCTAAGACCTCATAAAGACACATCAAAGACCTCATAAAGACACATCAAAGACCTCATAAAGACACATCAAATACCTCATAAAGACACATCAAAGACTTCATAAAGACACATCAAAGACCTCATAAAGACACATCAAAGACCTCATAAGGACTCATCAAAGACCTCATAAAGACACTTCAAAGACCTCATACAGACACTTCAAATACCTCATAAAGACACATCAAAGACCTCATAAGGACTCATCGAAGACCTCATAAAGACACTTCAAAGACCTCATACAGACACATCAAAGACCTCATAAAGACACATCTAAGACCTCATAAAGACACATCAAAGACCTCATACAGACACATCAAAGACCTCATAAAGACACATCAAATACCTCATAAAGACTCATCAAAGACTTCATAAAGACACATCAAAGACCTCATAAAGACACATCAAAGACCTCATAAGGACTCATCGAAGACCTCATAAAGACACTTCAAAGACCTCATACAGACACATCAAAGACCTCATAAAGACACTTCAAAGACCTCATAAAGACACATCAAAGACCTCATAAGGACACATCTAAGACCTCATAAAGCCACATCAAAGACCTCATAAAGCACACATCAAAGACCTCATAAAGACACTTCAAAGACCTCATAAAGACACTTCAAAGATCTCATAAAGACACTTCAAAGACCTCATACAGACACATCAAAGACCTCATAAGGACTCATCAAAGACCTCATAAAGACACTTCAAAGACCTCATAAAGACACATCTAAGACCTCATAAAGACACATCTAAGACCTCATAAAGACACATCAAAGACCTCATACAGACACATCAAAGACCTCATAAAGCACACATCAAAGACCTCATAAAGACACTTCAAAGACCTCATAAAGACACATCAAAGACCTCATAAAGACACTTCAAAGACCTCATAAAGACACTTCGAAGACCTCATAAAGACACTTCAAAGACCTCATAAAGACACATCATAGACCTCATAAGGACTCATCAATGACCTCATGAAGACACTTCAAAGACCTCATAAAGACACATCAAAGACCTCATAAAGACTCATCAAAGACCTCATAAAGACACATCAAAGACCTCATAAAGCACACATCAAAGACCTCATAAAGACTCATCAAAGACTTCATAAAGACACTTCAAAGACCTCATAAAGACACATCAAAGACTCATCAAAGACTCATCAAAGACCTCATAAAGACACTTCAAAGACCTCATAAAGACACTTCAAAGACCTCATACAGACACATCAAAGACCTCATAAAGCACACATCAAAGACCTCATGAAGACACATCAAAGACCTCATAAAGACACATCAAAGACCTCATACAGACACATCAAAGACCTCATAAAGCACACTTCAAAGACCTCATGAAGACACTTCAAAGCCCTCATAAAGACACTTCAAAGACCTTATACAGACACTTCAAAGACCTCATAAAGACACATCAAAGACCTCATAAAGACACATCAAAGACCTCATAAAGACACATCAAAGACCTCATAAAGACACATCAAAGACCTCATAAGGACACATAAAAGACCTCATAAAGACTCATCAAAGACCTCATAAAGACACTTCAAAGACCTCATACAGACACATCAAAGACCTCATAAAGACACTTCAAAGACCTCATAAAGACACTTCAAAGACCTCATAAAGACTCATCAAAGACCTCATAAAGACTCATCAAAGACCTCATAAAGACACATCAAAGACCTCATAAAGACACATCAAAGACCTCAAAGACTCATCAAAGACCTCATAAAGACACTTCAAAGACCTCATACAGACACAGTGATATTCTCACTCGTTATGAACCAATAGATTTATGTGTTTGTTTTTATTTCATTTCCTGTGTTTGAACTTTTTTGATTCTCTAATTTGTTGTTGGCAAATACACAACTTTGAAAAGTCCTGCTGCTGTGATTCAGGGCGAGACACAATCAGTCAGACAATTTACAGGTGAAGCTCCAAAACATAGATTATTGTCCAAATTGTTTGAACTGTATTTTAATGTAACAAATTCTGTAAATATTTAACTTATGAACCCAATTTTTTTTTTGACGGACCTGGTCAAAAGTTAAGGACCTTATCATGTGTTCTGTGTTTTCATTTACAGGACCAAGAGGCAGGAGCTTCAGGACCAGATCAATCCCTGAAACTCTGGATGAAAATGGCCGACCTCACAGAGAAACAGAAAATACCACAAGAAGAAGAAAAGCTGACTCAAGCTTTGCAGGATCTGAAGTTAAAGCCTGATTCTCTGGAGTCAGTTAAACTCACATCTCTCTCAGTTCAGGAGGATGGATCCAGAGGTGAAGATGACACACACGACTGTTAGGGTTCAGGAAACATCAGTCATTGAGAGAGTGGTTTTCTCTGATGAATCAGAATCAGAATCCTTTTATTGCCATGTGAGTAACAGGAAGTCAAAAACTAGGAAATTGCTTTGGCTCTCGGTGCAAACAAGTTAAAGCAGAATAAAAACAAGAAGGCATATACATAAATAAAAATCTACATGAATTATGAAGCTGCTTTTGTTAAAACTTTAGGGGCTCAGTGCGAAGATTTTTATATGTTGTAGATTTAGGAGTTACAGAGAAAGTAGCTGCAGGACACAAAGTGACTTTATCAAACGCACAATATTTATTTAACACTTGTATCTGCTGCAACAGAATGTGTTGACCAAAATCTGATTAGTATCTTTATAATAGTTTGCCACCGCTGGGTGTAGGTAAACAAATCAGGGCATATCACTTTTTTGCGCTAAAACATGGCGACTGCCTGCATCGTTTGGGGGTGCAGTAACCGCGTAGATTGTGGGGACATTCCGAAGGCTATCACGAGCCAGGGGAGTGACTCGGGACGGAGAAATGGACCCTTTAGTTTGGCAAGGATCAACCGAGAGGGATTCAACCCTAACCCCCGAAAAACGGCATTATAAGGTCTGATCTGACCATTTCATACCAGGTAAGAGCTAAGTCTATATAGGCACCTCGAGCCTCCCATCTAAATGAATGAGAGGGGGAGGAGGAGGAGGAGGGGAAAGGTGGTTTTAAAGATGGCGGTTGAATTGTTTTTCCCAAAGGGTCAGATGTCGCTTCCAGTGACGACACTCGTTGACCAATCAGTGTAAGGCAGTGGGCCGACGTGTCGTCATGGCACGGGTACTATGGGGATGGAACCACGGCTGAGGCAGTAGGGAAAAGTACTCAAATCTCCCATACCATCCACTAGTGGAAACGCAAAATAACCGTGCTGAAGCGTACTGTACCGTACTGATACTGTGGAAAATCGGCAAAAGACTACTTTTGGTTAGAAAGACAGAGGGCCACATAAAATGATAATGTGGGCCACAATTGGCCCCCGGGCCCGAGTTTGGATATGCCTGATCTATAGTGATAATAAAGATACTTACTCCTATGGACTCAGCACCTGCAGGAGGATCAGTGAGGGGCTTGTGCTCTGTGGACTAGGAGCAGCTCTGACAACCAAGGGGAAGAAAATGGATGGATGGATGGAAATAGATTTTAGTATTGCCAACACCAAAAGAAACAAACGGTAAAACTATAAACATCCAAACAGAGTAAATACTTGTAACATGACTACACTTCCATTTACTAAACTGTGAAGTAACATGTGTTTAGGACGTGTGTGTCATGGTTGTGTGTTGGACCCCAAACAGACTGAGACAGAGCTGGATTCACCATCAAAGATTTACTTAACAAAAAACAAACAAAACATAACTGAAGGCAGACAGTGGGGACATGGTCGGGAAAAGGAAGAACACAGGACACAAAATCTGTAAACAAGAAATACAAAAACAAGCTGGACAAAAACTCACACTGACGCAGAACACGGACCTTTGACATGGACTAACCTGGAGAGAAGTGAGGTCCAGACCAGAGAGCAACAAAGAGGTCACAAGACGCAGAGCAAGAAACACAAACCCAACAATGTGCTTCATAAATCAGTTTGTGTAAAATGTGAGTAATGTTCCATTTAAAGCAGGACTCGACTCGTTACCGTTGTTTTCAGAGATCTTCAACAAGAAGCTTCCAGGTCGCTCCCCAAAGGATTTAGACTTTAACAAAACATGTTTATGACTTTACATTAAATCACTTTGATCTTTGCACAAATGAAAAGGTTTCATTGTTAACCTGTAATAATCTTAATTAACCTTTATTGTAATCTTGTGTTTTTCTCAGCTTCTCCAATGAAGCGCAGTGACAGCTGTTTGTTTTTGCCACCTGACAGTAAGTTTAGTTTCTTTGATTCTATGTTTATCTAAAATGACTTGTTCAGTGTCTGATTACTCATGATTTACACATAACGTATTATTGTTCTTCTACATCCAGTGTCTGAGCTGTCTGTAGTTCTTCTGGGAAACAGCAGCAGTCTGAAGATCACAGCGGGAGACTTACTATTGGGAGAAACAAAGTTCAGTCTGGAAACTCTCAATGATTGTGAAAAACACAGTGGGACATTTAAGGACAAACCAGTGAATGTGATCTCCACTCCAGAACAACTGCTCACTACAACCTCAGAACCAGAACAGATGATACAAGAGATTAAAGATCAGAGTTGTCCTGGTCCTCATGTGTTCCTGATGGTTCTAAAGCCTGAAGACTTCAGTGAGGAAAAGAAAACCAGACTAGAGTCAATCCTGGAGAGTCTCAGTGAGGAGGCCTTTCAACGGTCACTGGTGCTGATGTTCACAGAAGAACTATCCTCTGCGAAGAAATACATGAAAGTGCCACATGTTAAGGACCTGATCATCAGATGTAGATACAGATATATGTGGATGGAACACACTTCCTTTGATCTATCTCATCCTGATTTAGAGTTTAGACGTAAAGAGCTGTTTTCCAGAATCAGTGACCTGTTGAAGAAGAACCCTGCCGATGGTCTGGACCCTGAGTGTTCTGAAGGAGACACAGATGTGACTGAGCAGAAAGTCTCTGTGAACCTGGTGCTGTTTGGAAGCTCAGCTTTGAAGACCTCAGCAGCAGAGTTCATTGGAAGGCGAGAGGACCTCTGTGCAACCATCAGCCCAGAACCATGTGAGGAACACCAGGGGGTTAGGGTTAGAGGGAGTGGGCTGTGTCTGCTGGAGCTGCCATCTCTGTCTGGAAAACCTCTGGAGACCATGATGGAGCAGTGTCTCCACTGCCTCTCCCTCTGTGGTCCTCAGGGCGTCCATGCCTTCATCCTGGTGCTACCTCAGGGTCCCCTCACTGACGAGGACAAAGAAGAGCTGTGGAGGCTCCAGGACACACTCAGCCCTAAGGTTCTTCCTTACACTATGGTTCTGTTCACTGGGGACTCAGACCTCACTGCTCCAGAGAAGGTTCTCTTTGACCAAGGAGACATCCCAGCTCTAACAGTCGACCTGAAGAACCAGGAGCAGGTCTCTGAGCTGCTGCAGTCTGTGGACACTTTAATGAAGAAGAACCAACCTCACGGCTTCACCACCGAGACTCTGGTCCGAGGACAGAGTGAGATCATACGTGACCAGAAGGGAGAAAGAGAGAAAAGACCAGAAACAGGCAAGTATTATTCTATCAGTTCTGGTTTTAAAGCTGCACTAACTGATTTGGAGACATTTTCAAACGCAGCGATGGCCTCGCTCTCTCTGCTCGCCCTCCCCGCACCCACGGAGCTTTTGCCCCCCACTACCCCCCTCCCCCTCTGCCTGTACTCTGTGCTGTTGTTAGCATTTGGAGCTAGCGTTTCACAATATGGACCAATATGGCACTTTTTCACATGGATGGCGTGACCATAGAATGATAGAACCAGGAAGCGCGGAGAGGACGAGACTTTCTTTTGGCTGTTTTGCTGAGTAGGCAGTAACTGGTAACGAAGACACGGGAAGTTTCAGGTTAGCCTCCGCCGCTTGTTTACCTCCGCCGTCTGTGCTAACGAGAGACCTGTAGAAGAAAGTGGGGGCCAGTGGTCCGCTGTGATTGGTCACAATCGGGACCCAAAACACATTCTCTTCCCTGTTCCATGAAAACTCGATCTAAAATTGCTTGCTTGCAATTGACGTCACGTCCGCCTCATTACATATGCGTATCACGAAGTGGTGGTCAGCCGAGCTAGTTGTTCCCTAGAGCAGCGTGTCTGAATATGACTTTTTCATGTGTTGTTTTAAGTTTTCTAACCGATCGAATCGTGAAACTTTTAATGGATACTTTAGGATTCTTCGTGAAGAGATTAATAAAGAGCCTCGCACTAAGGACTTTACGAAAAGACGCAGGAAAAGTGGCTCGCTAACATTTCACTAGCAGACGCTTTTACCTCTAAGGATTATTTATTTACCCAGCCGTGCAGTCACAATGCTCAGTTATTACATCCCCATCTTTATTTCATTCATTGTCAGGTATGAGTTGACGTTTTAGATAAACACTGTGAATCCTTGATTTGAAAAGAACACAGCCATGTAAGTGACATACAGCGGAGGAATAGAGACTTATTAGCATTATTAGCATATTAGCATTTACCGCGGTGCCAGTAGCTTCAACCTTGATATTACTAGAGCTTTTTTTAGTATCCATCCCGTTATTAAAAACGTGGCCTTGGATCAACACAAAGAAACATACAAATGTGTGCTCTGCAGTATAAAGTAAAGTGCACAAAAACAGGTTTTGTTGTTTAACCCAAAGAGCAATTACAGACAAGACACGTTTGTGTAATTAAGTCATTTTTAGGGTAATTGTACGTTGTTGAGTGCATATACTCAAAAACGTTTGAAATTTTTATTTCAAAAGGCTGTAACTTAAAAGTGATAGGAGATAAAGACTTTCTGTAAATTACAAAATTATGAAGGATGGCCAAAAGTGTTATGTAGGGAACACCAGACAAAGGCTTCTCCAACACGTTACTGTCCCGGTGATGGCGGGAGGCACGATAATACATCTGTGGGAGGCACTATTTGCGGAGATTTTACCGGAGACTAGCAGAGGCTGGAGTCGCGGCGCCCCGACGTGACTTCCAGGCTTCTTCTCCGCAAATCTAACCTGTCTCCGAACCTCCCAATGACAGCCCTGACCCTGAGAAACACTGATCCCACTGACTCTGTGCAAAGTGTCTAAAGTTAGTGCGGTACAACACTCGCACGCTTCCTTCGCTATTCTGCACTGGTTCAACGCCGTCTTGCTCGAATAATTGCCTCCACCATAGACTGTATGACCACCTGCGCCACACTCTGCTCTTCTTCTGTGGAGTTTTACGGCAGTGTGCATGCAGTGTTGTGTTCTGTGGTGCATGTGCGTCCGTCCGCTCAACCATAGAACTACAAGAATGCGCCCAACTCGCGCACTCTGTGACGTATTCATCGCGCGACACAACGAATCGATAACCAAATTTGTTGCAAACGCTTTTAATAATCGATTTTTATCGATATTATCGATTCGTTGTTGCAGCCCTAGATATTACCAAAACATGTAGTGGAAAAATTCTGCCTTGTGCATATTGTTAGAATGATGAGTTAGAACGTTCACCACAGTAGCTTCTAAGTGTAATGAAATATCCAAACAAGCAAAAAAATACTCGGAAGAGTCGCATTTTCTCCACATATCAGCAGCAACTCTTGCTGGCCTGACACCACTTCGTCAACCGGAAGTTTATGCGTCACGTGACTGCAAGCCAAGAATAAAATGTCACGCTAGCACAAACCTGCACTACTTATTCTTCAAAAGGACGTATATCCCAATGCATTGCATGGATATGGATTGCATTTTTGTAATGAATATGAAAATAAAGTCAGTTAGTGCAGTTTTAAAATGTTATATTTGTGAAGATGAAATCTGTACACTTTAGTGCAGGCTTGTTGAGACAGAAACTTCTGTTCAGGTTAGAGCCAGTATTACTAACTGCTTCTCAGACTGTATTTGTACCAATGATACTTTATATAATAAATGAAACATGAGAGCTCTACATAACGATGTCTTCTTTTCAGGGGAAGGAGAATGTTTAAGGATTACTCTGATCGGGAAAACTGGAACTGGAAAGAGCTCCTCTGGAAACACCATTTTGGGAGAAGACAGATTTTTAACCAAACCAAGTCCAGCTGCAGTCACTAAAGTTTGTCAGAAAGAAGAAACTACAGTTGACGGACGCCGTGTTGTCGTAGTGGACACTCCAGGACTGTTTGATGAAAACTTGTCTCATAGTGAGGTGGATGTGGAGAGGCTGAGGTGTGTGAGTCTGCTGGCTCCTGGACCCCACGTCTTTCTGTTGGTGTTAAAGTTAGACAGATTCACAGAAGAAGACATAAAGACTGTTGAACTCATCAAACAGGAGTTTGGTGAAGGTGTAGGAAAGTTTATGATAATTCTCTTCACACACGGAGATAAGCTGGAGCGTAGTAACACCTCTATACAGGAGTTCATCAAAGAAACCATTGAACCCTTTAAGCAGCTGCTTGGGCAGTGTGGAGGCAGATACCATGTGTTTAACAACTATAAGATTAAAAACCGTGATCAGGTCAAAGAGCTGCTTAACACCATTGACCTCATGGTGAAAGAGAATAATGGAGAGTGTTACACCAGTGACATGCTGCTACAGGCTGAAGCAAATACTAAGAGACAGATGATGAGGGAGAAGGAGGAGCTCAGGGAGAAGATGGAGAGAGAGAAGGAGGAGCTCAGGGAGAAGATGGAGAGAGAGAAGGAGGGGCTGATGGAGAAGGTGGAGAAGATGAAGGAGCTCAGGGAGAAGATGGAGAGAGAGAAGGAGGAGCTCAGGGAGACGTTGGAGAGAGAGAAGGAGGAGCTGATGGAGAAGGTGGAGAAGATGAAGGAGCTGATGTAGTGAGAAATGGATGAAGGTCTTAGTGGGGGATCTTACTGACCAAAGCTGTTTTGACACAAAAAATCCTGAAATCCTTTAATAGAAAAACAGACAGAAGAAAATTAAAAGAAATACATTCAGCTCAAATAAAGTCAAAAGTTAAATGAGTCTGAATCTGTGTGAGGATTAGGGGTCGATAGAATCTGAGCTAAATCTGTAACAAGAAATTGAAAGGGAGAGAACTACAAGACTCCTTTACTCTGACCTTCACAACTCACCGTCCTCTTATCTTTGTCTTTGTTCTTACTCTGATATTGGACTCTGCAAAGTTACTCAGGAATTTTTCTGTGATGAAACAGAATCAGCCAGGGTCCAGGATTCAGGCTGCTTCATGTGTTTCCCTCAGTTATTTGTCTAGATATGCTATATGTTATACATAAAATACTATATTCATATTACTTTTTTTTATTATTCTTAAGCGGATGATCTAATCAGAGAGCAGAATGAACAAGGACTGCGACTCCTTTATGAAGTGGGTAAAATATTCACCAGTCGTGGATTGTGTAAGTTTGTCCCACTTTATAAATTGAAGGGATCCTTAAAGGAGCTATACCCGTTTCTGCAGGTTTTTCTCAGTTTGAATGTTTAGCCCCGCCCCCAACTCGCTCACAGGTCTCTCATTTACGCCATCCTCTCATCCCACGGAGCCATCTAGTTTTATTTGCGATCCGATCAAGCCCCGGTGATCCAAGATGGCGCCCTATTCAAATGAATGGCTTGTGCTCAGAAGTTCATGGGACTTCACGGGGACCGGGAGATTAGCAGAACTCGCCTATATTTGGGCATCGTCTGGTCCTCCCGGTTCTGCGCAGTGGACGAGCTCCCATGATGCTTTGCGCCAAACGTGCGTGTGTGGCTCTCATGCACGCGCACAGAGGGGCTCGGCCGCGCTTTGACCAATCAGAGCTGATCATCAGAGCAGCGGTAGAGCGGAGTCAGAGCAAGAAGGAAAGGAGCAGAGTTTGTGGCAGTAAAGTGAGGATTTAAAGAAAACCGAAGGATTTAAGAAGATAAAAAGTTCAGGACGACAAAGTACACTAAAATCCCCACAAAATGTGATCTTTATGAAAGCTGTTGGTTCTCTGTCAGGTTCTCTGTCAGCTGAGGTCGAGCTGTTTTAGTTTACATTGAGTTCTATGGGACATTTTTCTGGGTAGCCCTCGTGAATTTAGTCTGCAGTACCACAGCGCCCCCTGTGCCCATGGGTGGGACAGCTGTAAGCTAGTAATACCCTATCCAGTTATTATTATAGATCCATGGATCTGATACATATGCAAACATTAGCATTAGCACAACTTCTTGTAAGCTGTTTAACAATCACTGATGAAATGGTACAAAAGCAACGCACTGCTAACAAAATATATACTGTAACTGAAAGATTACCGCTAGGTTCACGTCCAAATATCCGAGCATAGATAGTCCGAGGCGGTCCCGCACCCGCAGGTCTCTCCAGAGGATACGATGTAAGCTAGCGCTAGCTAGGTTCACCCGGGCTTGATTTCTTCTTTGATTATTTTTTGGCTTTGGTTCCCTCTTCTCTTCCACACTGTTGCGTCGTTTGGGCTGTTTATCTGTGTCTGCAGTTACAACCAGAGGAAGTAGCCACTTTTTGCTAATATGCTACTGTGTTTCGCAGCGCTGTAGAGGCTAGAGGACGCAGCATGTTTGCTCCTCGTTCTGTGATTGGAGGAGAGCGAGCGTCACTCTAAGTCTCTACTTTTTACGGCCTGAATTCATACACAGCTCAAGTTTTAAATTAAATGACAGATTTTGATACATTTTGTATGTGGTAAAACGCATTTTAATGAACTGATTGGAAAATAAATCGGGTATAGCTTCTTTAATGTACGTACACGTCGACGGTGACAGAAGTGAAAAATATTTGACCAATAACAAAAGTTCAGCTGTCCTGTGTGTGTTTGTGTGTGTGTGTTTGTGTGTGTGTGTGCACTTGTTTTCAACTCCTGGTGGGTTCCATAACCTGAGATTCCACTCACGTCATGGGGACTGGTTTTACGTGGTGGGGCCCGAACACCGGACCCCACTGGTCCAAGCTTAATAATCAATGGGTAATGCTTTTCTAACGGTCCTTATGCAGTCTCTGTAAAAATATGGAAAGGACCCCTGGAGGTTTACTTTCCTGAAAAAAGTGTGTTATGTGTCGGAACCCTGGTGGTGGGTTGCGGGATATCAAGGAGGGGCACACTGGGGCAATTTCAGTCCAGCAGGCTGGAGCCAATCATGGAGCAGCACAACAGAGGAAATCAGGTGTCAGGCTAGAAAAAGGTGCAAGTGTGTGGTTCATTAGGCTGCAAGAAATCATGGAGGAGCACACTGAAGCGCACGCTTACAAACCACTGGTAAGTGCTGACTACAAGTCATGACTTCAAATTGTTATATAGAATGATTACAAATTATTTGTTGTTTGTGCAGCTTAGTCAAGAGTCCCTAATTGATGAAGTCGACTCAGATTCTGACGATTTAACTGTCAAGAAGAAACCTGTAAAAAAGTATGGAAAAAGAAAAATCAAAAACACTTTTCTTCAAGACTCGGAAAGTGACGAACCAAAGGCAAATAAGATTGTTATCATGCAGCTGCAAAAGAAGAAAAATGGGGGGCGAGTATACAGCAAGAGACACTTCTGCCTCTACTGTTCAATGTCCTGCCACAAAATGTCCCGTCATTTGACTAGAAAACATGGAAATGAAAGTGACGTAGCCAGAGCATTGGCTCTACCTGTGAAATCTAAAGCACGTAAACTTCAGTTTGATTTGATCAGGAATAGTGGAAACCGTGAGCACAATTTTGAGGTTTTAAAGGCCGGCATTGGAACTTTAGTCCCAGCTAAACAGCCAAATTCCCCAGTTAAATCCAGTGAGTTTTTGCACTGTATAGACTGTGGGGCATTGCTTAAGCGAAAGTCGCTGTGGAGGCATGTGGCCAGGTGCCGGCTTTCACAGAAAGATGCCCAGGCTAAACCAGGTAGAAGTAGGGTCCAGTCCCTCTGCTCCCTAGCCCAGCCTGTACCGGAGGGCATCAGCAAAAAGCTGTGGTCTTTAATTTCGGCAATGCATCAGGATGAGGTCACGGGTGTTGTCAAAGCAGAAAAGGGGATTCTGAGACTCGGAGAGCACCTGTACTTAAAACACGGGCATGATAAGACTAAGCATGATTACATTAGGCAGAAAATGAGAGAAGTCGGTAGGTTAATTAACGAAGCAAAAACCGCAGGGAAACTGAAAACAATTAAGGATTTCTTTATTCCTTCCAACTTTAACCATGTGATTGATGCAGTCAGGTCTGTGGCTGGATATGATGAGGAAACAAATCAATACAAGACTCCATCCTTGGCCCTCAAACTCGGCCATAGCCTCAGAAAGCTAGCAGATATTCTTGAATGTGACTCAAAAATGGAGCATTGTGTTGATGAACTATTTATTAAAAACCTCCAACGAAGCCGGCTGCTTTTTGAGAAGAGGTGGGACGTCTGTTGTTTCTTCTGCTGCCCTACAGACCCTCCGGCAAGCCAAGTGGAACACTCCGGACCTGCTCCCTCTGACTGAGGACGTTAGAGCCATGCATGCACATATTGAGGTATGTCGACCTGAATATGTGCAAACCCTAATAAGTGAGCCAACGTCTAAGCATTGGTCTAAACTGGCAGTTTTGACTCTTTGTGAGGTCATCATTTTCAATCGAAGAAGGGAAGGTGAGGTTTCAAAGATGCCACTGACAGCCTTTACCTTAAGAAGTAAGACTGGGATCCATTCTGACATTGCTCTGGGACTGTCCCAACTTGAGAAAAAGCTGTGTCAGCATTTTCAACGCATTGAAATTAAAGGGAAAAGAAGTCGGAAAGTGCCGGTTCTTTTGACTCCTGAAATGATTGCTTCGATGGAGGTGCTGGTGGAGAACAGAAGGGCCTGTTTCCATCTCTGACCATAACCCATACTTCTTTTCCCGCCCGGGCGCAGACACCCACATCAGGGGATCAGACTCCCTACGCCAGGTAGCCAAAGAATGTGGTGCGGTGCATCCAGAGATGCTATCCTCAACCAAACTTAGAAAGCACATAGCTACTATGTCTACAGTTCTCAATATGAAAGAGAATGAGATGGACATACTTGCCAACTTCCTCGGCCATGACATTCGCATCCACAGGCAATATTACAGACTACCAGAGGGGACACTGGAGCTGGCCAAAATCAGCAAAGTGTTGATGGCCATGGAGCAGGGAAGAGTGACGGAATTCGAAGGAAAGAGCCTCGACCAGATACAAATTGAGCCTGAAGGTAATTCTTGATATTATTAAAATATGTATGATTTTTTTCCCCTAAAGGCCACTTGTATTTTTATTTTCTGTGCGACAGGGAGAGCAGTAGAGATCCTCTCACAAACGGACGGGCTAAAAGAAACTTCAAGCGGAGAACCTTCAACCATTCATCCAGATGCACCCCATGGTAGTGGCAGTGCCCCTTCTGGTAAGTGTACCAGGTGGGGGATTACAGCCAGGCTGCTTGGTCCTCACCCTGGGAGTGTATATTGCTAATATATTTTTATTTCTCTCCCTAGAACGTGTAAGAAAGCCATGGTCTGCATCTGAGGTGAAGGCTGTGGAGAAGACCATGACACCTTTCATACAGACTGGAAAGGTCCCTGGGAAGTCTCACTGCCTGGCCTGCATTAATGCCTCACCAGATGACCTTAGACATCGGACATGGAGTGGCATTAAATTCTATGTCAAAAATAGAATCACTGCAATTCGAAAACAAAATCTAAAATAAAATTCCTTTAAAATAGTTGTTTGGTTTCTATTGACTGTTTTGTATTACTTAAAGTCTTGGTAAAAAAAGATTATGTCTATGGGTCCCATTCTGAACGGCCCTGTCAAAGGGACCCACCAGGTAACAAAAACGTGTATGTGTGGGTGTGCAGAAAGTGTTTTGAGAAAAAAACCCAAGTGTTTAGGCTGTAGGACCAGGCACACGTTGAAAATCAGACTAAGTGTTTTGAGAAAAAACCTAAGTGTTTAGGCTGTAGGACCAGGCACACGTTGAAAATCAGACTAAGTGTTTTGAGAAAAAAACCTAAGTGTTTAGGCTGTAGGACCAGGCACACGTTGAAAATCAGACTAAGTGTTTTGAGAAAATAACCTAAGTGTCTAGACTGTAGGACCAGGCACACGTTGAAAATCAGACTAAGTGTTTTGAGAAAAAACCTAAGTGTTTAGGCTGTAGGACCAGGCACACGTTGAAAATCAGACTAAGTGTTTTGAGAAAAAAACCTAAGTGTCTAGACTGTAGGACCAGGCACACGTTGAAAATCAGACTAAGTGTTTTGAGAAAAAAACCTAAGTGTTTAGGCTTTGAAGAGCCCGGAAAGCGGGGCTTACTTCCCCCGGGAATGGGCGCCCAGGCCCGGATCTGAGCGGGAGCAAAGCCCGCCCCGGTGGTAGCCCAGGTCCGGAGGAGTGCGTGGGTGAAGACCCCGTGTCTCTAGCCCTCATGGTTCGTTTTCTACGAGCCATGTAAGCCGAGGTTCTCCTCCCCCAGAAGGAGCGCTCTTGGGCGGATGGCAGGCGCGCGGTCCCCCGGTGGTTTCCAAGGGCCATAACTTTCTGGTCCTTTGTCCCCCGCGCGTCAAATTCACACCGCGGGTACCCCTGGACCAGGGGAGTCCCTGGGTCCAGACCGCGAGTCTCTGGGCCTCTGCGTTGATTTTTAACCAATTTCTGGAGATTCTGTATTCCTAGGCACACAGGCTTTTGGAGGAAAAAATGACAAAGTGTCTAGCGAGCTCAAGTGCCTTTTGCGCAGGCCGTAACTTTTTTGTCTTTCATTTCCTATGAGTGAAATTCACGGAGGATGTAGCCCAGGTCCGGAGGAGTGCGTGGGTCCAAACCCCATGTCTCTAGCCCCCGTGGTTCGCCTTCTACGGGCCCGAGAAACCGCCACTTTCTTGACCGAGAATAGGCGCTCGTGAGCGGACACGGCCGCGCTGTCCACCGGTGGTTTCCAAGGGCCATAACTTTCTGGTCCTTTGTCCCCCGCGCGTCAAATTCACACCGCGGGTACCCCTGGACCAGGGGAGTCCCTGGGTCCAGACCGCGAGTCTCTGGGCCTCTGCGTTGATTTTTAACCAATTTCTGGAGATTCTGTATTCCTAGGCACACAGGCTTTTGGAGGAAAAAATGACAAAGTGTCTAGCGAGCTCAAGTGCCTTTTGCGCAGGCCGTAACTTTTTTGTCTTTCATTTCCTATGAGTGAAATTCACGGAGGATGTAGCCCAGGTCCGGAGGAGTGCGTGGGTCCAAACCCCATGTCTCTAGCCCCCGTGGTTCGCCTTCTACGGGCCCGAGAAACCGCCACTTTCTTGACCGAGAATAGGCGCTCGTGAGCGGACACGGCCGCGCTGTCCCCCGTGGTTTCCAAGGGCCATAACTTTCTGGTCCTTTGTCCCCCGCGCGTCAAAATCACACCGCGGGTACCCCTGGACCAGGGGAGTCCCTGGGTCCAGACCGCGAGTCTCTGGGCCTCTGCGTTGATTTTTAACCAATTTCTGGAGATTCTGTATTCCTAGGCACACAGGCTTTTGGAGGAAAAAATGACAAAGTGTCTAGCGAGCTCAAGTGCCTTTTGCGCAGGCCGTAACTTTTTTGTCTTTCATTTCCTATGAGTGAAATTCACGGAGGATGTAGCCCAGGTCCGGAGGAGTGCGTGGGTCCAAACCCCATGTCTCTAGCCCCCGTGGTTCGCCTTCTACGGGCCCGAGAAACCGCCACTTTCTTGACCGAGAATAGGCGCTCGTGAGCGGACACGGCCGCGCTGTCCCCCGCTGATTTCAGACCGACGTAACATTCCCGTCTCTTGTCCCCCGTGCGTGAAAATCACAGGGGTGGTAGCCCAGGTCAAGAAGAGTCCCTGGGTCCAGACCGCGAGTCTCTGGGCCTCTGCGTTGATTTTTAACCAATTTCTGGAGATTCTGTATTCCTAGGCACACAGGCTTTTGGAGGAAAAAATGACAAAGTGTCTAGCGAGCTCAAGTGCCTTTTGCGCAGGCCGTAACTTTTTTGTCTTTCATTTCCTATGAGTGAAATTCACGGAGGATGTAGCCCAGGTCCGGAGGAGTGCGTGGGTCCAAGCCCCATGTTACTCTATAGCCCCCCTGGTTCGCCTTCTACGGGCCCGACCTCATAAAGACACATCAAAGACCTCATAAAGACACATCAAAGACCTCATAAAGACACATCAAAGACCTCATAAAGACACATCAAAGACCTCATAAAGACACATCAAAGACCTCATAAAGACACATCAAAGACCTCATAAAGACACATCAAAGACCTCATAAAGACACATCAAAGACCTCATAAAGACACATCAAAGACCTCATAAAGACACATCAAAGACCTCATAAAGACACATCAAAGACCTCATAAAGACACATCAAAGACCTCATAAAGACACATCAAAGACCTCATAAAGACACATCAAAGACCTCATAAAGACACATCAAAGACCTCATAAAGACACATCAAAGACCTCATAAAGACACATCAAAGACCTCATAAAGACACATCAAAGACCTCATAAAGACACATCAAAGACCTCATAAAGACACATCAAAGACCTCATAAAGACACATCAAAGACCTCATAAAGACACATCAAAGACCTCATAAAGACACATCAAAGACCTCATAAAGACACTTCAAAGACCTCATAAAGACACTTCAAAGAACTCATAAAAGTACACTTCAAAGACCTCAAACAGTCACATCAAAGACCATCATAAAGACACATCAAAGACCTCATAAATACACTTCAAAGACCTCATAAAGACACATACTAAGACCTCCTAAAGACACATCTAAGACAATCAAGAAATACACGATCAAAGACCCAATCCGATACAAGACACATCAAAGCTTACCTTCATAAAGGTGTAAAGCACACATCAAGAGACCTCATAAAGACAACTTCAAAGACCTCATAAAGGACACATCCAAGACGTCTTAAAGACACGAGACCTTAAAGGTAACTTCATAAGACCTCATAAAGACACTGTCGAAGACCTCATAAAGACACATCTAAGACCTCATAAAGACACACTCATAGACCTCTATAAAGGACTCATCAAATGCCCCATGAACTGACACTTCAAAGACCTCATAAATGACATCATCAAAGACCTCGATAAAGGACTCATCTAAGACCTCATAAAGGACACATCAAAGACCTCATAAAGGACACATCAAAGACCTCATAAAGACACATTAAAGACACTCATAAAGACACATCAAAGACTACATAAAGACACATCAAAGACCTCATAAAGGACACATCAAAGACACTCATAAAGACACATCAAAGACTACATAAAGACACATCAAAGACCTCATAAAGACACATCAAAGACTACATAAAGACACATCAAAGACCTCATAAAGACACATTAAAGACCTCATAAAGACACATCAAAGACCTCATAAAGACACATCAAAGACCTCATAAAGACACATCAAAGACCTCATAAAGACACATCAAAGACCTCATAAAGACACATCAAAGACCTCATAAAGACACATCAAAGACCTCATAAAGACACATCAAAGACCTCATAAAGACACATCAAAGACCTCATAAAGACACATTAAAGACCTCATAAAGACACATCAAAGACCTCATAAAGACACATTAAATACCTCATAAGGACTCATCAAAGACCTCATAAAGACACATCAAAGACCTCATAAAGACACATCAAAGACCTCATAAAGACACATCAAAGACTTCATAAAGACACATCAAAGACTTCATAAAGACACATCAAAGACTTCATAAAGACACATCCAAGACCTCATAAAGACACATCCAAGACCTCATAAAGACACATTAAAGACCTCATAAGGACTCATAAAAGACCTCATAAAGACACATTAAAGAACAGGCCTGACAGTGATCTTCCCACTCTTTACAAACCAATGGCTTTATGTGTTTGTTTTTACTTAATTTCCTGTGTTTGAACTTTTTGATTCTCTAATCTGTTGTTGGCGAATACACAACCTGCTGCTGTGATTCAGGGCGAGACACAATCAGTCAGACAGTATACAGGTGAAGCTCCAAAACATAGATTATTGTCCAAATTGTTTGAACAGTATTTTAATTTAACGAGTTCTGTAAATATTGTAGAACTATTTATCTTATAAACCCAATTTATTTTTTAAGGACCTGGTTTTAGAACTGACTGATCAAAAGTTAAGGACCTCATCATGTGTTCTGTGTTTTCATTTACAGGACCAAGAGGCAGGAGCTTCAGAACCAGAGTTTCTATCGTCTCCAGATCAATCCCTGAAGCTGTAGGAGCAGCTCTGGATTAAAATGGCCGCCCTCACAGAGAAACAGAAACTTCTACGAGAAGAAGAAAAGCTGACTCGAGCTTTGCAGGATCTGAAGTTTAAACTCACCGCTCTCTCAGTTCAGGAGGATGGATCCAGAGGTGAAGATGACACACATGACTGTTAGGGTTCTGGAAACAAAATCTACATGAATTATGAAGCTGCTTTTGTTAAAACTTTAGGGGCTTTAGGGCTCAGTGCGAAGATTTTTATATGTTGTAGATTTAGGAGTTACAGAGAAAGTAGCTGCAGGACACAAAGTGACTTTATCAAACGCACAATATTTATTTAACACTTGTATCTGCTGCAACAGAATGTGTTGACCAAAATCTGATTAGTATCTTTATAATAGTTTGCCACCGCTGGGTGTAGGTAAACAAATCAGGGCATATCACTTTTTTGCGCTAAAACATGGCGACTGCCTGCATCGTTTGGGGGTGCAGTAACCGCGTAGATTGTGGGGACATTCCGAAGGCTATCACGAGCCAGGGGAGTGACTCGGGACGGAGAAATGGACCCTTTAGTTTGGCAAGGATCAACCGAGAGGGATTCAACCCTAACCCCCGAAAAACGGCATTATAAGGTCTGATCTGACCATTTCATACCAGGTAAGAGCTAAGTCTATATAGGCACCTCGAGCCTCCCATCTAAATGAATGAGAGGGGGAGGAGGAGGAGGAGGGGAAAGGTGGTTTTAAAGATGGCGGTTGAATTGTTTTTCCCAAAGGGTCAGATGTCGCTTCCAGTGACGACACTCGTTGACCAATCAGTGTAAGGCAGTGGGCCGACGTGTCGTCATGGCACGGGTACTATGGGGATGGAACCACGGCTGAGGCAGTAGGGAAAAGTACTCAAATCTCCCATACCATCCACTAGTGGAAACGCAAAATAACCGTGCTGAAGCGTACTGTACCGTACTGATACTGTGGAAAAATCGGCAAAAGACTACTTTTGGTTAGAAAGACAGAGGGCCACATAAAATGATAATGTGGGCCACAATTGGCCCCCGGGCCCGAGTTTGGATATGCCTGATCTATAGTGATAATAAAGATACTTACTCCTATGGACTCAGCACCTGCAGGAGGATCAGTGAGGGGCTTGTGCTCTGTGGACTAGGAGCAGCTCTGACAACCAAGGGGAAGAAAATGGATGGATGGATGGAAATAGATTTTAGTATTGCCAACACCAAAAGAAACAAACGGTAAAACTATAAACATCCAAACAAAGTAAATACTTGTAACTTGACTGCACTTCCATTTACTAAACTGTGAAGTAACATGTGTTTAGGACGTGTGTGTCATGGTTGTGTGTTGGACCCCAAACAGACTGAGACAGAGCTGGATTCACCATCAAAGATTTACTTCACAAGAAATACAAAAACAAGCTGGACAAAAACTCACACTGACGCAGAACACGGACCTTTGACATGGACTAACCTGGAGAGAAGTGAGGTCCAGACCAGAGAGCAACAAAGTGGTCACAAGACGCAGAGCAAGAAACACAAACCCAACAATGTGCTTCATAAATCAGTTTGTGTAAAGTGTGAGTAATGTTCCATTTAAAGCAGGACTCGACTCGTTACCGTTGTTTTCAGAGATCTTCAACAAGAAGCTTCCAGGTCGCTCCCCAAAGGATTTAGACTTTAACAAAACATGTTTATGACTTTACATTAAATCACTTTGATCTTTGCACAAATGAAAGGTTTCATTGTTAACCTGTAATAACCTTAATTAACCTTTATTGTAATCTTGTGTTTTTTTCAGCTTCTCCAGTGAAGCGCAGTGACAGCTGTTTGTTTTTGCCACCTGACAGTAAGTTTAGTTTCTTTGATTCTATGTTTATCTAAAATGACTTGTTCAGTGTCTGATTACTCATGATTTACACATAACGTATTATTGTTCTTCTACATCCAGTGTCTATAGTTCTTCTGGGAAACGACTGGAGACTGAAGGAGGCAGTGGGAATGATACTATTGGGAGAAACAAAGTTCAGTCTGGATAATCTACATAAATGCGAAAAACTCAGTGGAACATTTAAGGACAAACCAGTGACTGTGATCCACACTCCAGACCATCTGCTCACTACAACCTCTGAACCAGAACAGATGATACAAGAGATTATAGATCAGAGTGGCTCTGGTCCTCATGTGTTCCTGCTGCTTCTAGAGTCTGAAGACTTCAGCGAGGAAGAGAAAACCAGACTAGAGTCAATCCTGGAGAGTCTCAGTGAGGAGGCCTTTCAACAGACACTAATGCTTATGTTCAGGTCTCGAAAAGAGGAACCAGAGTTCAGGGAGAAATACATGACAGAGCCACATGTTAAGGACCTGATCATCAGATGTAGATACAGATGTATGTGGATGGAACACACTTCCTTTGATCCATCTCATCCTGATGTAGAGTTCAGACGTAAAGAGCTGTTTTCCAGAATCAGTGACATGTTGAAGAAGTCCCCTGCAGATGGTCTGGACCCTGAGTGTTCTGAAGGAGACACAGATGTGACCGAGCAGAAAGTCTCTGTGAACCTGGTGCTGTTTGGAAGCTCAGCTTTGAAGACCTCAGCAGCAGAGTTCATTGGAAGGCGAGAGGACCTCTGTGCAACCATCAGCCCAGAACCATGTGAGAAACACCAGTGGGTTAGGGTTAGAGGGAGTGGGCTGTCTCTGCTGGAGCTGCCATCTCTGTCTGGAAAACCTCTGGAGACCATGATGGAGCAGTGTCTCCACTGCCTCTCCCTCTGTGGTCCTCAGGGCGTCCATGCCTTCATCCTGGTCCTACCTCAGGGTCCCCTCACTGACGAGGACAAAGAAGAGCTGAGGAGGCTCCAGGACACACTCAGCCCTAAGGTTCTTCCTTACACTATGGTTCTGTTCACTGGGGACTCAGACCTCACTGCTCCAGAGAAGGTTCTCTTTGACCAAGGAGACATCCCAGCTCTAACAGTCGACCTGAAGAACCAGGAGCAGGTCTCTGAGCTGCTGCAGTCTGTGGACACTTTAATGAAGAAGAACCAACCTCACGGCTTCACCACCGAGACTCTGGTCCGAGGACAGAGTGAGATCATACGTGACCAGAAGGGAGAAAGAGAGAAAAGACCAGAAACAGGCAAGTATTATTCTATCAGTTCTGGTTTTAAAGCTGCACTAACTGATTTGGAGACATTTTCAAACGCAGCGATGGCCTCGCTCTCTCTGCTCGCCCTCCCCGCACCCACGGAGCTTTCGCCCCCCACTACCCCCCTCCCCCTCTGCCTGTGCTCTGTGCTGTTGTTAGCATTTGGAGCTAGCGTCTCACAATATGGAACAATATGGCACTTTTTCACATGGATGGCGTGACCATAGAATGATAGAACCAGGAAGCGCGGAGAGGACGAGACTTTCTTTTGGCTGTTTTGCTGAGTAGGCAGTAACTGGTAACGAAGACACGGGAAGTTTCAGGTTAGCCTCCGCCGCTTGTTTACCTCCGCCGTCTGTGCTAACGAGAGACCTGTAGAAGAAAGTGGGGGCCAGTGGTCCGCTGTGATTGGTCACAATCGGGACCCAAAACACATTCTCTTCCCTGTTCCATGAAAACTCGATCTAAAATTGCTTGCTTGCAATTGACGTCACGTCCGCCTCATTACATATGCGTATCACGAAGTGGTGGTCAGCCGAGCTAGTTGTTCCCTAGAGCAGCGTGTCTGAATATGACTTTTGCATGTGTTGTTTTAAGTTTTCTTACCGACCGAATCGTGAACCCTTTAATGGATACTTTAGGATTCTTCGTGAAGAGATTAATAAAGAGCCTCGCACTAAGGACTTTACGAAAAGACGCAGGAAAAGTGGCTTGCTAACATTTCACTAGCAGACGCTTTTACCTCTAAGGATTAATTATTTACCCAGCCGTGCAGTCACAATGCTCAGTTATTACATCCCCATCTTTATTTCATTCATTGTCAGGTATGAGTCTGCATTTTAAATAAACACTGTGAATGTTTGACCTGAAAAGAACACAGCCACAGACGCATTGTTTTGTTGAGAATGATAAGTTCATACCATGGATCTATAATAACGGTTCTTTCACCAATCGTTACTTTCACGGCTCTGTACGATGCTGAGTTCTTAAACCCACAGACGGAAAAGTTGCAGCATGTTTATCCAAACCTTCATTTGTTTAGCAGTGCAAAAGCTTGATTGTAACACTAGCTGTGGATTAGAATCTAAAGTGAAGAAAATGACAGTCTAGGATCTTGTCTTTAATTCAGACAGAAGACATGTTTTATTGTCAATGGTAGAGGCAGCATAAACAAAGACGTTACAGAATGTAAGTGACATACAGCGGAGGGATGGAAACTTATTAGCATTATTAGCATGTTAGCATTTACCGCTGTGCCAGTAGCGTCAACCTTGATATTACCAAAACATGTAGTGGAAAAATTCTGCCTTGTGCATATTGTTAGAACGATGAGTTAGAACGTTCATGTAGGGTAATGAAAATTGTAGTGTAGTGCGGCTAGTCTCCAGATCAGAGTCTTGCCGTACTACACAAGTGGGATCTGAGTTTTTATTTTGGGCACCAGCAGAGTTTGAAAACTTCTGCACAGATCCAACTAATTTGCCTCGAATCAGTCTTACAATCTAATAGGTTGTGAGTACGAAATCAGCCATGGACGTCAACAGATTTAAAAACAGGACGCTTAAAGATGATTTGACTTAAACGTGGGTTTATTGACTACATACGAAAATAGAAGAATATCAACGAAAAGGGTTTTGGTCACATTAACGGAGATGTTATGCATATCATATGAATCACACATTAACGTGGAACAGTCTTACTTTGAGCAGTCCGAGTGGAGAGGTGAGGGATGAAGAAAAAAGGTTGAGGATGAATGGCCAGTCCACGTGTTCCTTTGTTCGAGCAGGAGGGAGACACAAAGCCAGCGGTTCCAGTCCAACTTTGATCCACGCATACGCACGCCGTCCGGAAAGCGCTGTATGCGTAGTGCCCAGAGCCGGAAAGTGGCTGGTGATGGGGCAGTTGGTGATCTCCGACAGCAGTATCGGGTCTGTACTCGCGGAGTGGAGAGGCCTCAATGGGTTACAGGCGCGGGCCGTAGTAGAAGACACGTACCCGCGGAACACAGAGGTTGATACAATAGTTTCAGGAATTCCAAGAGGGCGATCTCTGAGTTGTGCGTGGCTTTATTGACTTTCAAAGGAGGCGCGTCCATGACGTCATCCCTGTGCGTCTCTCTGGACCGACATGTCTCAAGGCAAAAACACATCACACAGACATTCATAATCAGATGCAGGGTTAATACCAACATTCATAACACATGTACAGGCGAACAACGCATTTACATTACTGATAACGATACACACGTGTAGGGCACAGTACAGGTTATCAGAATAATGACTTCACGAGTGATGGTTTAGAATGTCCGTCTCGGGTGTGATAGTGTTCAGTGTCCACTGGGGGGCGCCAGAACGCCGTGGGTGAGTCGTTGATTGTCCAGGGACAGGAATGTCCCGGGAGTGAGAGCAGAGTTGTGATCTCTGATCTCGCCAGGCAGGAAAGTACAAAGATGTTTATTCTGGGGCTCAATTTATTGCCCTGGTTGACACTTATGGTCTCGGTGACCGATGATGTCCTCTGGTTGACCCGGTCGTTCTTTAGATGTGGTTCAGGATGGGTCATTCTCAGGAGGGCATGTTTACGTATCCTGGTCTGCTGGTCAGCGTCCGACTGGGTGTCCTTTAATTCACCTTACATTCACCACAGTAGCTTCTAAGTGTAATGAAATATCCAAACAGTTGAAATCTGTACACTTTAGTGCAGGCTTGTTGAGACATAAACTTCTGTTCAGGTTAGAGCCAGTATTACTAACTGCTTCTCAGACTGTATTTGTACCAATGATACTTGATATAATAAATGAAACATGAGAGCTCTACATAACGATGTCTTCTTTTCAGGGGAAGGAGAATGTTTAAGGATTACTCTGATCGGGAAAACTGGAACTGGAAAGAGCTCCTCTGGAAACACCATTTTGGGAGAAGACAGATTTTTAACCAAACCAAGTCCAGCTGCAGTCACTAAAGTTTGTCAGAAAGAAGAAACTACAGTTGACGGACGCCGTGTTGTCGTAGTGGACACTCCAGGACTGTTTGATGAAACCTTGTCTCATAGTGAGGTGGATGTGGAGAGGCTGAGGTGTGTGAGTCTGCTGGCTCCTGGACCCCACGTCTTTCTGTTGGTGTTAAAGTTAGACAGATTCACAGAAGAAGACATAAAGACTGTTGAACTCATCAAACAGGAGTTTGGTGAAGGTCTGGTAAAGTTTATGATCATTCTCTTCACACACGGAGATAAGCTGGAGCGTAGTAACACCTCTATACAGGATTTCCTCAAAGAAACCGTTGAACCCTTTAAGCAGCTGCTTGGGCAGTGTGGAGGCAGATACCATGTGTTTAACAACTATAAGATTAAAAACCGTGATCAGGTCAAAGAGCTGCTTAACACCATTGACCTCATGGTGAAAGAGAATAATGGAGAGTGTTACACCAGCGACATGCTGCTACAGGCTGAAGCAAATACTAAGAGACAGATGATGAGGGAGAAGGAGGAGCTCAGGGAGAAGATGGAGAGAGAGAAGGATGAGCTCAGGGAGAAGTTCGAGAGAGAGAAGGAGAAGATGGAGAAGAAGGAGAAGATGAAGGAGCTGATGTAGTGAGAAATGGATGAAGGTCTTAGTGGGGGATCTTACTGACCAAAGCTGTTTTGACACAAAAAATCCTGAAATCCTTTAATAGAAAAACAGACAGAAGAAAATTGAAAGAAATACATTCAGCTCAAATAAAGTCAAAAGTTAAATGAGTCTGAATCTGTGTGAGGATTAGGGGTCGATAGAATCTGAGCTAAATCTGTAACAAGAAATTGAAAGGGAGAGAACTACAAGACTCCTTTACTCTGACCTTCACAACTCACCGTCCTCTTAACTTTGTCTTTGTTCTTACTCTGATATTGGACTCTGCAAAGTTACTCTAGATATGCTATATGTTATACATAAAATACTATATTCATATTACTTTTTTTTTATTATTCTTAAGCGGATGATCTAATCAGAGAGCAGAATGAACAAGGACTGCGACTCCTTTATGAAGTGGGTAAAATATTCACCAGTCGTGGATTGTGTAAGTTTGTCCCACTTTATAAATTGACGGGATCCTTAAAGGAGCTATACCCGTTTCTGCAGGTTTTTCTCAGTTTGAATGTTTAGCCCCGCCCCCAACTCGCTCACAGGTCTCTCATTTACGCCATCCTCTCATCCCACGGAGCCATCTAGTTTTATTTGCAAGAGAGTCTGGCTGCAGACTCCCCCCCCCTCGCAGACCTCCCTGTTCAGCCCCTCCTTCAGGAGCCCCTGTTACGTCACTTCCTTTACTGGACACAAGCAGACTTCTCTCAGTTTAGGGAGACCCGGACAGTGAGGAGCATGAGAACATCTTGGAGCCCTTCAAGTTTGTCTTCTCTCGGATTGAGGACATGGAACTCTTTTCTGTTGAATGTGTTGATAAAAGGGGTGTTGTATTATGAATGCATAATAAATAGTTGAACGGCTTTATCATTGAGATAATTTATTCACCACAAACGGGGAATGTTCAGTATTGTATCACAAGTTACAGAACGGTAGGAAAATCAAAAATGTGAGTAGACCTATAGGTCTAGCTAACTCTTATTCCTCTAGAAAATAATAGAAAAAATAAATATTGGGTACCTATGTAACTTTAATGCTGTTGCGAGAATAATATAGATGAATGGAAGTTGCAGCTCTTTACTATAATAAAGCCTCGCCATGGTATCTCCATTTATATTGTCTTTTCGACGTGTTTTCATGTTCTATACTATGGGTGACGTGTAGGTGGCGCTCTTGTAAACAAATGGCAACAGAATTGTCCTTTGGCATCCCAAATGCCCAGATGAAAACAGCGATTGCTCATATACATAATACCCGGTCACAATTTGTGGAACAAACGTCACTATTTTTGTTTGTTACATAATATATACTATATACAGTATATAAGCTATATAAGCTTTATAACTTTGTGAAGAAAAACGTTTTCAAGTCCCAGGGAAGTGAAGTAACAGTAGCTCATGGCAAAGGTCATGTGACAGGGGCTCCTGAAGGGGGGGGGGGTCTGCAGCCAGATGCCTCTCTTTATTTGCGATCCGATCAAGCCCCGGTGATCCAAGATGGCGCCCTATTCAAATGAATGGCTTGTGCTCAGAAGTTCATGGGAGTTCACGGAGACCGGGAGATTAGCTGAACTCGCCTATATTTGGGCATCGTCTGGTCGTCCCGGTTCTGCGCAGTGGATGAGCTCCCATGATGCGTTGCGCTATCTCCCATCATGCATCGCTCCAAACGTGCGTGTGTGGCTCTCATGCACGCGCACAGAGGGGCTCGGCCGTGCTCTGACCAATCAGAGTTGCTGATCAGTGTCCGGATCAGGAGAGCGAGCGTCACTCTAAGTCTCTACTTTTTACGGCCTGAATTCATACATAGCTCAAGTTTTAAATAAAATTACGGATTTTGATACATTTCGTATGTGGTAAAAAGCATTTTAATGAACTGATTGGAAAATAAATCGGGTATAGCCTCTTTAATGTACGTACACGTCGACTGTGACAGAAGTGAAAAATATTTGACCAATAACAAAAGTTCAGCTGTCCTGTGTGTGTTTGTGTGTGTGTGTTTGTGTGTGTGTGTGTGTGTGTGTGTGTGTGTGTGTGTGTGTGTGTTTGTGTGAGTGTGAGGCAGCAGCGGTCACACTTGTAACCCGGTTTTATTCTCAGGTCCTTCCAGATTAAACAAAATAAGACGATGATGTGAGTGTGTGTGTGTTTGTGTAAGTGTGTTTGTCCGTATGTATGTGGGTGTGTGTCTGTCTGTGTGTGTGAGCGTGTTGTGAGTGTGTGTACATAATGTGTTTTTGGTCCTTTCCAAACTGCTGTTTTGTTCCTTTGTATGAAAGGTAAACATTTAAATAAATAATTATTGAACTTGATGTTGTTTTATTCAGATGTTAATTTCACACAGAACGACTGGAGTAGGGATTCGCACATCAACACCAACAGTCTGCGTCAGAGGAGAGGCCTGGACAGCCTAATGTGATAGAGAAAAATCCTGCACAACGTCTTACTTGCAAATTAAAAAAAAAAATTAAAGTGCGACGTTACGGCGTTATGCCTTCATCAAGCAAACATGAGAAGAGCACCAGGAAGAAGTAAAGACTGAATTAAAGAGGGACATAAAAGGAGAGGCTGCTGCTGCTCAACCAACATGCAGCGGGCGCCCCCTAGTGGTGAATAATTCAGAGCTTTACAAGAGCAGATTAAAAACATACTCATCATTTGTTATTACTACAAATCTTTTTTTCCATAATTAACAGTTTGAACAGATGTACGTCTGAGAATCGCTTTATGGAGGACAAAGTATCAGGAAATGCTGCATCATGAATAATATTCTCTTATCAGACAAACAGGGAACTTTTCAGATGTTTTTGACGGATATTTTCTTTTATGGATGACAAAAAAGAACAATATTTCT